TATACTCCTCTAATAATAAAAACAAACATGGCTGCCACCAGGGTTTGACCGGACTCCACACAAAGAAGGTCGCTGGTTCTGTTCTGAACTTTTTGAATTTCGGCATTCTCATGATGTATCCTCGAAAAGAATATAATAATAAGGTTATTGCAAGGACAGTATGCTGTCGCATCGACCTGTACTGCACGTCAGGGTCACCATACTCAATTTGAATCAGTGTACAAATTTAAGTGAAAATAGCATGTTTTGTCCATTTTAGGGCATTTTATCATTGTTTTCTATAGCAAAAGTATATCTCAATAATAAAATTTTGGTCAGTGACATACGGTGAAAAATTGATGTATAGTGTCTTATTGGTACAATGCCCTTGTTCCTGTCTGGAAGTATTAAACAGTTTACATTATTTTTAGTAGGCTTTAAATGACAAAATGTGTTATTATTGTGGTGTATGGAAACTGATGCTAAATTGCTATTTTACTTCAAAAAAACAGATTGACAGTGAATTTATAAAGTCCACATACTGTTGACTAATACCACAATGATTAATTATAGACCAATTTTAATTGAATTTTGATTTGATTTTGATGAAATTTTGTCACTACAATATGTGCTAAAAAATATGTGCACATGTAAAAACACACAAGTAGCATTTTACTTTAAGACAGTTTGATCATCAGAAATGACATAATTTGGAAATCTTATAACTCAACGAAATCATGGTCTCAAAATGTTTTTATCGACAGAAGTTCCTCATCCATGGACCGGAAAGCGTCAACCAAGTATTGAAAGTGAAAAAGCTGCCAGTGATTTCATTGAATTTTTAAATACTTTACGAAAACCAGCCGCTCAGGACATTACAAAGCAATGTAAAGCACTTATTGATAGACTGCAGGATCAGTATGAACTCTCGGTAGAGGAACAATCTGATATTGTTCAAGATTTCTATCAAAATATGGGAGAGAGATTACAAACACACTCAGCATTCAAAGGTAATACTAAAAGTCACTTGACTGTAGTAGAATGACCATCCTTTTACTCATCACAGGTCACTAGACCATTCTCTTACTCACCATAGTTCACTTGGCTGTAGTAGAATGACCATCCTTTTACTCATCATAGGTCACTA